AAAACAAAAACCACATGATTATATCATTAGATGCAGAAAAAACTTTTGATAAAATCCAGCACCCTTTCTTGATAAAAACACTTGAGCATCTAGGCATACGGGGAACATACCTCAAAATAGTAAAAGCCATCTACGAGAAACCCACAGCGAGCATACTCCTAACTGGACAAAAATTAGAACCATTTTCCCTGAAAACTGGAACAAGACAAGGATGCCCACTCTCACCCCTCCTGTTCAACATAGTATTGACTGTCCTGGCTCGAGCATTCAGAGAAGAGAAGGCAATCAGGGGTATCCAAATAGGAAAAGAGGAAGTCAAGTTATCTCTCTTTGCAGATGACATGATTGTATACCTTGAAAACCCGAGAGAATCTGTCAAAAACCTCCTTACACTGATAAAGAGCTTTGGCAAAGTCTCAGGATACAAAATAAATGTACAAAAGACAATCGCATTTCTCTACACCAATAATAAACAAACAGAAACCCAAATAAAAAACACAATTCCATTCACAATAGCCACAAAAAAATTGAAATACCTTGGCATCTTCCTAACCAGAGACGTGAAAGACCTTTACAAGGAAAACTACAAAACACTGCTCAAAGAAATCAAAGTTGACACAAACAAGTGGAAAACTATCCCATGCTCATGGATTGGAAGAATCAACATTGTGAAGGTGTCCATCTTACCTAAGGCAATCTACAAATTCAATGCAATACCCATCAAATTACCAGCAACATTCTTCTCAGACCTAGAAAAAACAACCCAGAAATTCATATGGAAACACAAACGTCCAAGAATATCCAGAACAATCCTCAGCAAAAAAAACAAAGCAGGTGGTATCACACTAACAGACTTCAAACTTTACTATAAGGCTACAATCATCAAAACAGCTTGGTATTGGTATAGGAACAGGCATATAGATCAGTGGAATAGAATTGAGATCCCAGAAGCAAACCTCAATTTCTCAAGCAACTCATCTTTGACAAGCCTCACCACCTACCACTGGGGAGAGGAGAACCTATTCAGTAATGGTGCTGGGAAAACTGACTGAC